GAAGATCTTTTGGGAGGTGCATAACTTTGTACCTATTTGGAGAGCTATAAGGTGGAGAATCAAGATCAAAGGGAGAGCCAACGACAAAGGAACCACTCCCTCTACTTGAACACCATTCTTGGTTTCAAGATTTGCTCCAAGGGTATGAACATCTTATCTTTCTCTCAAATAGGATTTAGAGAGTCTTTGGTGCACACTTTCATAGACTTATAAAGATTGGGACCAAATGAGACTTGCATAAATCCCTAGTTTATTTAATGCTTTCACTCTTACTTTGATTTCATATTAGATATGGCTTGCTAGGTGATTTATACTCTCAAAGTTTGGTTGTAGAGTTTTTAGAAATCTCTCCACAACACCATTCCCACTATATTTGCTTCACGAATCAGACCAATAAGTCACTAAAAAACCTATGAGAAATTGGCAACATCTCTATATAAATTATGTGAATGATTATTTTCACTTGCTACAAAAATGGCACCTTTTCTTGTATGGAGGTAGAGAGTACCGATGAAATGCTTATATGTGAAGCACTCCTAGATATTTTGAAGAAGAGAAAGAGATAGCGAGAGAGTTCTAACGTCACTGAAGAGCTAACCTCACCTAATCCTCTATTTTTAACAAACAAACAAAAAGAGTTATAATGACTAAATAAGGAAGAATGGAGGCAACAAGGCAAAACAAAGGAGAGAAGACATCAGATGCACATGGTCTGAAAATGGAGAAATGCTCTACATTTATAGGGAAGACAGGGTCTGATTTTGTTTTTGGTTGAAAATACATTCTTCCATAAAAATTTTGCACACAGGAAAAGGGAGGTGTATGGAAATATAACTAAATGGGAGCTTTCAATTTTTTTTCCATAATTAAAAAAATGGTGTCACATATTAACAGTGCGTTTGGATGAGGGAAATAAACTTGGGATTTTGAAAAAAGTCAGAATTTCTAAATTGACATGAACCATTCCCGTGTTTGGATAATAAAAAAAACATAAAAATTTAGAAATTCCGCGTGGGAAAAAACATGGAATTTGGAGATCATAAATCCCAACTTTAAATTCTATCTAAAAGTCGTCATTTCTAAAATTCCAAGAGAGATTGAGTTTTTAAAAAAGATGACTTTATAAATAAATGTCAAATTCCGTGTTATAAATCCGTCACCCAAACAAGAAACTTTACAAATTCTAGAACATTAATTTCCGTCATTTTAAATTCTGTCATTTATGAAATCCTTTGTACTTTTAAATTTCATCGTCCAAACGCACTGTAAAGGAAAGTGAAAACAATATTTTAATTTTCAAATTGCATATTTTTATAAAGCAAAAAGTCATTTTTGGTCCCTATGGTTTATCACTTTTATCACTATGGTCCTTGTGATTTCAATTTGAACATTTTTGTCCCTGTGGTTTCAATTTCAAACAATTTAAGGAAAATCCAAATTCTTTTAACTTCGGTTACTTTTAGAGGGGTAATTTAGTCAATAAATTATTAAAAAATTAATTCTTTTAAAAATAACAATACAAAATGGAAAAATTAATACATGAAAATATATATCTTCTTCTCCCCTCCCTAGAAGCCTTTGTCACTCTCTGGCTGTATCTCTCCCTCATCATTTCTCCACTACCTGATAGCACCCTATCCCCAGCCCCAGCCCTACCCTAGTTGTGCCCCCCCCCCAACCCCACCCCTACCGCCAACACCAGTGCACCGACCCCCTTCATCCCTCTCTCTCCCTCTCTCTCCGATTTGGCCCTCCACCTCACCCCACCACAGCCCGCTAATCATCCCTCCACCACCACCATAACCTAAAACTAGATATTCTTCAATATACAGCTTTGTTCATCAATCGATTTTTAATAACTTGGAGATAGCTATAGATTTTACCCTTCCTAACTTCAAGTTATGTTTCTCAAAAACACCATCAAATAAGCCATAATAAGTGAAAATAAAATTGAAATAGGAGTAGTTCTTGGTGGGTGGGTTGGGTTGGAGCGATTTTTTATAATTTTTTATTTTTGTAGATCTATTGGCTATATTGTAATAAATTTTGAGCAATGTGGTCTTTTGCTTGCACTGAATTTTTTGGGTTGGACTTGAGACAGAGAGACAGAGAGATAGGTGGGTTGTCTTGTCTTGAGAAGTTTTCTGTTGGGAGGGTGATAAGGGTTGGTTGCTGGGTGGGTGATATTGGGCAGTGACTTGTTAGATGGTGGTTATGGTGGGAGGGGGAGGGCACGTGAGAGAGAGGGGGAGAGCACGAGAGTTAAAAAAGGAATGAATTTTTGTTATTTATTATTAATTTTTTCATTTTGTATTTGTTATTTTGAAAAGAAATGAATTTTTTAATAATTTGACCAAATCACCCCTTGACAGAAGTTAAAAAAAATTGAATAGAAATTGAGAGTTGTCCTTAAATTACTTGAAATTGAAACCACAAGGACGAAACTGTTCAAATTGAAACCACAGGGACCTTAATGGTAAAGGTGATAAACCACAGGAACCAAAAGTAATGTTTTGCCTTTTTATAAAGTAATTGTTTTTACTGTCCTAAATCCAATCATCACAAGGTTGCCTTGGACACCGTATTTGCTATTTTATTCTCACTTGGCTTCCAAAATAAAAGTGTTTTGGAAGATGTGTGATTTGCAATGTTAAATCCTCAAAAATCACTAGATAATTAATTTCCTTTTTATATTGATGGCAAGTGAATCGAACAATGGGGGTGGGTATGCGAGTTTGGCTTCCCTAGGGCTGATTGAATCTTAATATTGTATAAGCATAGAATAGTCGTTGTCATGACAATTGAGAATGAAGCCCGCATGGGCAATGGGTTTCTCATAGAAACCATGCCGGTCTGCTTGTATTTATATTGGCAAGATTTGAGATAAATGTTCCCAAGTGTTGAAGAATGTAAAAAATCCCACATTGGAATCTTGACAAAATAAAATAAAATATATATTAAGTGGTTCTACTATTAATAGTACCCATATCTTTTGTAATAAAACTCCACACATACTGAGTGTGGGCTGCTAGCCTGTCTCTTTGAAATCTTGACACCAAGTGATCAACCAAAGTTTTTTAATATGTTAATTTTGGTGACATTGAAAAATTATTAATCCCATTGATGGGAAATTGAAGAATGAAAAATTAACCCCATTGATGGGAAATTTGTCATCAATGCTTCTGAATTTCGTATTAGTTGTATCCTGCTTTAGTCATTGAATTTGAACTAGGCTTCATTTGGCACAATTCTTGTAAAAATATCTTCAAGATTTTTGTAGTAGTGAAAGCTTTTTGCCGCAAGTCTTTATGTCTGCAGCAACACTGGAATTCTATGTTATTATTTTGATTAGTAACTCATGTTCCCAAGTTTGAACTTGTGTGTTATGGAAAAATTAACTGGACGTCAAGAACTGTAAAAATTGCAGCAGAGAGATCATCAAGAACTATCTATTTATTTGAACTGTAAAAACTTTAATGCAGGCTGGTAAGTAGGCCTGTCAAAATTTGGTTGTTGAACTTTGAAATTTGATGGCACATTGAACTGAATGATGGTTTGATGTGTTGGAAAATGAAAGATATATAGGAGAGGTTATGAAATTTTGATGTTGTATTCGGCTAACAAAGTCGAAAAAATTGCAGCAAAGGGATCTTCAGGAACTATTTATTTGAAGAGAGAATTTAACATCAATCCTTGATAACTCTAAAAAATACATGAACTTATGCTTTAACCATCAGATCTGCTCTAATATTTGAATGATATACAAATGAAATCCAGTACATGAATTATAATACACTTCAACACTTGGAATTGATATTGGGACTGTTTCTCAAGAATTGATGAGGTTAGAGATGTGGAATTGCAACTTGCTATTCCAAACTTCAAGAACTCACTTTGTATGCACATCGTCTTAAAATTCTTCAGAACAAAACTCAACCTTCAGAACAGAACTCAGCTGAAAGGAGGGAGACAATATTAAACTAGAAAAATAATACTCATCAGCTTATACTAAAATCGAATAAACAAAATAAGTTACACCAAATTGAAAGTGTTCATCCAATGCACTAAATGTGAGAATCGTCAACTTGGGACTTAAAACGAGCCTCAGAGTGTTTTTGATAATGATGCAGAAAGCCACAACATTCAGAAATCTCTAGACTAGGCTTCAAATTTCAGAAGGCTCCAAATACTCTGCCTAGGAATTTTTTTTAACTGAAGAAACTATAGAACTTCATATTTTGAGATACTTAGATTAGAAACTAGCTAGGGAAAATTGAATTATGCTATCATCACTGAGTCCCACAAATCCCTAAAGAATGTGACCATGCTGACCAGTATTCCTATCAGTATAATTTAACAAAACAAAAGCATGATCATATCACTAAAGACAGAAAAGTTCCTTCAATTCCTATATATCATCAGATGGAGATGCAAAATACATTAAAGAAATCTATCAAAAACCCAGTTAACGTAAATGCTAGCCGTCTAGAAATCCAGTCTTATTGATTTCCTTTCTGTGATTTGCTTGCAAGAAGAAGTATTTTATTCAACAAGAGAGAGGGTGTGAAGAGAACGATGTACAAATATAAGTGTACATTTCTCCCTCATATTTTAAAGCACCCAGGGGTCTCCTTATTTTAGGATCAAGACAGGAGCATATTTGGAGTTAGGTTCCTGACATTCCTTCTAAATTTTAACTTAGAATCTCATCTAGGGAGGAGCCCATTGGAGATGTTCTAATGAGATACCACATCAAAATTAGGTTGTTTGTTTTGTTTTAGTCTACTATATCGCAATGATAGAACACTTGAATTAAAACAACCTCAAACACACATGAAATACATTGTAATTTATTGTCAAATCAAAGCTTAAACAATCTCACATGTAATTTTTTTTTGTTTATATAATTAGAACCGTAATTTGATCTTGCTAACTCAATTTAATTCTTTCCTCAATATGGCATAATATGGCATATTTTTTTTTAGTAAGATTTGCAAACATCAGTGTTTCCTTAATATAGAAGTTGGAGATGGCAACATGTATATACTCACCTCTGCACTTCTCTGTGTTTCCCTGTATTCAAAAGAAAAGAATGTGTATTATTGAGATGCAATCAGGTTTGAAAAAGAAACACTTTATTGTTATATTATTGACTAAACACCAATAAACATTCAGGAGCATACCTTTTTTCATGAATGTTCCCTATAGTGCTATTGAGGTCCCCCATCCACTCAGACTTTCCCAACTCTGTGTGTACTTGGATTACAGAATGTGTGTTGACAACCTTAGAAGCAAATGTTCTTAAATCTGGACATTTTATAACCTTCAATTCCATCAAAGATGGCAACTTCAAAGTATAAGCTTCAGTTGAGAAACACATAAGGTTTGGTAGATCGTCAAGCGTCATGGAATTCAATCGAGGAAATGTAATTTCCTGATCAGCACATTCAGTGTCTGCTTCTGCAATAACGTGTTCAATCTTCTCACAATTCCCAACTTTTAAGTCTTCTAAATTGACTAGGAGCTTGGCTACAGTTGACAAGAACAAATATCGCAAACTGCCACAGTGGGATACACTTAAGAATGTCAAGTTTCCGAAGCCTGTGATATGATGTGAACTGCCCGTTTCCCATACGTGCATTAAACTTGGCAATTTGTCTAATAGCAAGTAACACAACTTATTGAATGCTTGAACATTGTGGCTTTCCACAGCCTTTGGTCCCTTGAGTTGGAAAACAACTTCCAATGACTCACAAGATAGTACAGAAAGACGTTCTAGATTATCGTAATCATTTGAGTCTTGATCAAGATTTGTTGGTGCAACCTAGAAAATCAAACATGAATTGAGCAATTGTATATAATTTATATAATTTCAATATATGGCAATGTCATTTTCATTCTCAATTGTAGCTTACCTCTTGATTGACTGGACGTGGCAATATTTGAACAATATTTCTTCTTGAAGTAGGTTTGGTCATTGGGCCACATGAATAAGGTGTACATCCACATGATCCTGATGAAATACCTTCGTCTTCGTCTTCATGATGAGCTATTGAATCTTTTTCCAACTGTTTTATTTGTGGAATTACTGAAGCCAATGTCTTCAGTTTGTTGCATCTTTCCACAGACATAACTTTGGCGGTTGACCATAAAGAAGTAGAAGCATCAGGACAAAGACTCTCAAGACTCGGAAGCCGGCGTAGATCAAAACTATTTAGTTTGGGAAACAAAGTCATGCCCGTCTGATCCTCTTTTTCATTTTCATCAGCGGATCTGACTATAGTTTCCATGCTCCAGCATCTCGCTATGTTGAGCTCTTCAAGATTCACAAGTAGCCTGGCAATTGAATGTGGGAACACATATTGGAGATCATGACCACCTCCTATGTTTAAATATCTTAAGTTTTGGAAGCCCTGGAATCCACGCGGAATGTTCTTCCAAAGGTGTCGACATCGAGAATGCCATATGGACAAATTTTGTAAATGAGAAAATGCTGGAACTGCCTGCCCATCCCTAACCATATGGCCTTTCAGATCAAAGAACACATCTACATTGGCCTCTTGTAGTTCCACTTCTTCTAGATTTTGTAACCATAAAATGCACTTTGATGGAAATACTGCTCTTTCAAAGCTTCTAGAAGGTTGATGCTCATCATATGAAGTTCCTACCACATTTTGATCCTTAGGCCCATCCGTTACCTGAAAAGATTCATTAATTAATAAATATTTAAAGAAACATTTTGTATATTCAAAAATGAAATTAATAACAAGCTCAATTATTATTGTTTAAATTACTTCAATATGACTTCATATTAAAATATTAATAAAACCAAGTTTTAATCGGAGGACTAGTCAGTTTCTAGATTCTTTATGCTGATGCTGTTCAGACAAAACCTCCCCTCTGCTTTGCAGAATAATAATCACATAAAAGCTAGACTTTGTGATCTCAGGTCAAACAAAATGCTTCCACGTGGCAAGAATTTTCTAGTAAATAATTTGGAGCGTGGCAATTAAGACCGTAATTTTTTTGGTGCTTGTACCGGTAGTTTATAGCTTTGATTTCTCGAATACAAGCAATTTGGAGCGTGCAAAAAAAAAAAAAAATGAAAGTTTTAACCAACTTAAATTCGTTGCTTCTTTAGATAGTTCGAGATTTCTAAATATATTATGTAATGAGACCATTAACAAAAATGAGTCCAAAATTTTTACAAATAAATATATGAAATGGACTAAATTATTTATTTATTTATTTGTGGTCTGCACATGCTCAATTTTTTATTTTTTTATTTTTTTATTTTTATTTTTTGGTAAAGGCAAGTAAACTAGATTCCTCATTTATCAGTATGAGAATATTTTCAGCTTTTAGGAAGAAAATGAGTAAATAATAGTCAAACTAAATTCAGGCCTCATGGCAAGTAAACCAAAAAAAATAAAAAATTTGAGGCACAAACAATTAACAAAACAATTATACTATTCAAGCATCGAAATAATAAGTTATATATGTAACATACCTCATTGTTGGCTTCGTAGAAACCAACAAATTCATCAGATAGATATTCGAATGTCAACTTTGTTAATTTAGGGAAAGCTATGATGTCCGATGCCGTCTCATGTTCCCTCCACTCCTTTGAGACGATTTCTTTCATTTGGGGACAAATGGCAACACTTAAGCTTTGGAGTTGAACCAAGTTGCTTGCTACTGATAGAGAAAATACATATTTTAAAACAGGGCAATATAGTAATTCAAGATATCTTAAGTTGATAAAAGAGCTCTGTGGAAGTTGGTCGTGGCATATTGCTTTTAGCTTGGGCATCCCCCAGAGTACGATTGATTGGATGAGAGGGAAGGCTGTTTGTTGAGTCCAACTTGCTCCATTTACAAGGTATTCTATCTCGGGGCACTCCCAAATTGTTAAAACTTTTAAGTGTTGCAATCCCTCTTGGTCTAATTCATTGAGGACATACTTTAAATTCTTAATCCTTTTCAAGAATAAATCTTCACATTTCTTAAATAAGACACGAACAATTTGAATCTCCATGAATTCCCTTGCATCACTTTCAACAATATCCAACTTATTTTCGAATGCATAACAACCAGCTCTTGTTGATGGAGTTTTAACCGGCGATGGTCCAAGTGAGTTGGATATGTGGAATCTTATTGTTGTCTGGATTGTCAAGTACAAGTCTTTTGGAAAGAAGTTGAAATCGGGTATATCTATGACTAAAACCTTCAAATGATTAGACAATAAAGACATCACCTCAACAAGGCTTGCCATCCTCTTATCTTCGCTTTCTGCTGCTGATTGTTCCCATTTGCGAAAACTATTTTCCATATACAACTCTTCAAGACTAGATAAGCTCGATAAGAGACCATGTGGAATCTTCTCAAGACGATCACAATCCGTGATATCTAACAACCTTAAATGTTTAAGAAGTCCAATTTCCCTCGGCAACTCTAAGATGTTAATGCATTCACGAAAGCTGAGGATCTCTAAATTTTCTAATCTTCCAATAACATTAGATATATCTGTTAAATAACGACAACCATTTAGGGACAAGGTTCGAAGGCTCTTCAGTAGTCCTAGTGACCTTGGCAAGGCTGATATCCCACCCATGTCTACCAATGCTAAAACCTTCAGCTCTTTCATCCCTTTACACATGATGTCCATGCTATTTTCCGAATAACGTTCGCCTTCTAAGTGTAGAAGCTCAAGTTTTGGACACTCCAGGCCAACTGGGATCTCATCAATATTAATTGGTATCAGTGAGATTGTTGTGCAATGGTCGTATATCTTTGGCCACCCTTTCTTTTCAGCATCGCATCTTATTAGAAATCTATGTGGATCTCTTGAGGCAATTGATATGGCAACATCACGAACTATGTCATGCATCTTGGTATGGTATCCCCATTTGCTCTCTAGCAACAAAAACCTTCTTTGAAGTTTGTCAACCAAAGAATGCACTCTATTTCTTGCTTCTTCCACTGAATCAATGTTACTAAAATACCCTCGACCCCATCCATATCTAACCAAATATTCAATTGGAATATCATAATCTTCAGGAAATAAACAACAAAGCAAAAGGCATGACTTCGCTTCATCACTCTCCAATCTATCATAACTCCATTGTATGCTTGAATAAACTTTGTCATTCATCGAAGAGATGCTTCCAGGAGCTGAACTTTGTAGCTGTTTGAGTGCATCAACCCATTCATGCCTCCTCTTATTTTCTAGTGCTTTCGCAACAGTTAAAATAGCAATAGGTAAACCTGCACACTCATTTGTGACTCGTTTAGCCAAATCAAGATGGTCCAAGGGTTTACCTATGATTTCACGGAAGAGTTCCCATGATTCCTCTGGTGTTAAAACTGGGATTGTAAAAATTTCTTGACTTCCCATTGCATTGCACACTTCCAAGTTTCGCGATGTCAACAGAACTTTGCACCCTTTATGAGGTCCATAAGGAAGTCCAATAGCCTCAAAATCGAGCTCTGTCCACACATCATCTAATACAATGAGGATCTTATTTATTTCCATGAGTCTTCCGTAGAGCCTTCGCGCTCTTCCACTTTCGGTATTCTCGTCATATTTAAACCCCAGCTCCTCTGCAATTTCTAATTGAATCTTTTGAATGCTTGGGCTTTGGGACACAACTGCCATCACAACATTATCGAATACTTTCAATCCTGCCAATCTTTTGATGATTTCTTTCACCATTGTGGTTTTACCCACACCCCCCATACCACAAATCCCAATCATTCTAACTTCTTCATTCTTTAAAACCTCTATCACGCTATTCACACATGTCATTCTGGATTTAAAATCCTTAAAACCTTCTTTGAATGTTGACCATATCATCGGTGGAGGTGCAGGATGGGCAACTTTATTATTGAATGTTCTTTGTTTTTGGAGATGACGAACATCTTGTGTAATCTTAGTGGCTTTCCTACTTATGTTCCACCGGTATAAGCATCGCCTTTTCATGCTGACTTCTTCCTCAAAATGCAACACTTTCTGAATTAAATTGTTAACACTTGTTAGCCAACTTTGAACATCAGAGTTGACAACTTCACCATTTCTTTTGGCAACATTAACCAATTCTTGCACCCCATCTTTCATCTCAAAAAGCTGTTTAAGTTCATCCTTTAGATCTTTCATGTTGGTATCATAGTAAATTAAATAGCCAAATTCTCTGCCCATTGGTGTCACCAAGGACTCTGCAATTTTGGACGCAATTGAAATAACAATATCCATTTCCTTGTGAGATCAAAGACACGTAGATGAAATGGTTATCTCTGTATCTTGTCTCCCAATCTGTACAAAGTCCAATGAAAAATAGATCAATATAAAAATAGGATTGGCTGTTTTTGGCAAAATTTTATGTTGCAATATTTTATATTTATTTGAACACTTTGTACAATTTTACCATTATCAACGAAATTTTTACTGCCTTAAATGTGACATCTTTTGTACTTAAAAAACAACAAAATGAAAGACATTTTTTGTACTTAAATTTTTATTGCCTTTCCGAAGATTATGTTTCTTTAAAGGGATTAAGGTTTTGATTATGTGAAAATTAAATACATAGGTTGATTATATTACTTCTATTAAAATTTTATTTTATTTGACTATGCCTTTTTTTACTATTAGCCTCCATTGGAACCAAAAGGAATAAGTTTTATAGGCTAAGTCTTGGCTATATTAAATTAACAAGTTAATTTGTTAATCGTTTTCCTATTCTTACTACGATTTAGCTATATTGAATTTCTAGTTTTATTGGTTTTTAATTTCCTTTGCCAATTAGGTTTTCTAATGAAACCAAGGGATAAGATTGCTAGGCTGCTTTACTCTAGTATAAATACGTTATTACGAGACTTATGTATTCAATTTTTTATGCATGTAATTCCGGACTTTAGTCTCTATAGTTTCTTTTAGGATATTGTACCTAGGACTCAATTATCTACATTCTAACTTCTATTCTATAGCTTTATCATTTTATTATATGTATTTTGGGACTGGTTGGTTCACTAGACAACAACTTATAGACCCTACCCTGCATCAAATTGGTACCAGAGGCTAGGAAAATCCTTCCTCCACACCATGATTGGTCATGGTAGAGGTTGTAGACAAGGGAACTAAGCCCAAGACAGATAGATGACTGAGATGCAACGTATAATGGAAGATATGTCGAGAGTGGTGCAAGCCCTCCAAAGACAGAATTTCACAGATGCCCATATGGAGATTCTGGAATGCAACCATGGTGATGGTGATCGAGGTGGATTGGAAGAGCAGTTGGTTCGTGCATTGGGTTTGAATGGTGGAGGAAATAAAATTGAAGTTGCTGATTTTTATGGAAATATGCATGCAGAGATTATTTAGATTCAGAGGCAAGTCTAGAGAATGGAAACCTATGGTAGAAGTGTAAGACATTACATTGTAATAAACCATATTAGAATGGTCTTCTAATCACATAAGCAATTGTAGTTTAGTATTAATCAAGAAACATAACTCGAGAATATCTGCAATTCTAGTTTAAAGTGCAGTTTAATTAGAAAAATAGAGCTTTGAGGATTCCTAATCCCACATGGATTAAAACATTCTATCCTAGTGCAATCAGGATTTGTTTAAGTGTTCTTCTATGGGCAAAATACTTAAGCAATGCATATATTTATATAGAGGTCCCTTCCGTATCAGTCAAGACACACTCATATTGATATCCCACCCCCACCTAGAGAAAATTAAAGGACTGCATAGGAGAAGAATATTTCTACACCTTCACCACAGCCATTTTGTACCAAAGTTAGTGTTAGGTTATTATGAGGAGAAGCATTGAAAATGGAAAATTATATATTGAATAGAGTACCTACTAAACGTGTAAATGCTATCCCTTATGAAGTTTGAGTTAAAAGAAAACCAAGTTTGAATTACCTTAGAGTGTGGGACTGTAAAGTTGAAGCAAAATCATACAATCCTATGGAAAAGAAGTTGGATTCAAGAACAGTCCGTGGCTATTTTGTTGGCTATCTAAAGAGAACTAAAGGCTACAGATTTTACTGCCCTCAAAATACAACCAGATTTGTAGAAACTCAAAGAGCAGTGCTTATAAAATCTAAAAATGAGGCAACTGAATAAGAGAATTTCAATTTTGATGAAGTTATAATAGAAAATGGAGACACAATGAATTCTAATACAGATAACAAAATTCAAGTGTTACCTAGCTTTGACTTGAGTAGCACGCAATCTGTACAGGAATATGAAATAGTTGGAGATCCAATGATACTTGACCAAGAAACTCAAGAATAGCAAGTTCTGCCACTAGAAAAAACAAATGAAAATCAACCAGCCAAACAAAACCATGAACAAATGGACATAGAGTTGGGAAGATCACAAAGACCAAGGAAAAGAGCACTACTTGATGACTACTATGTATATTTACAAGAATCTGAGCATGATGTGAATGCAATTGAAGATCCCATGAACTATATGCAAGCAATGTCCAATGAGAAAAGTGAAAATTGGTGGGGAGCTATGAAATCATAATTAACTCTATAGAGAAAGATGGTGTGTGGGAACTAGTGAACCTGTCACAAAATTGCAAACCTATAGGCTGCAAATGGGTTTTCGAAACCAAGAGAAACCCTAAGGGACAAATTGATGGATATAAGGCAAGACTAGTTGCCAAAGGATCCACACGACAAGAAGGGATAGATTACAATGAAATCTATTCACCAGTTTCAACTAAAGACTCATTTAGAGTAATCATGGCATTGGTAGCACATTTCGATTTACACTTACATCGAATAGATGTAAAGACTGCATTCTTGAATGGAAATCAACAAGAGGGAATATATATGAAACAACCCGAAGGTTTCATTCAAGAGAAGGGAGAAAATCTAGTATGTAAACTGTGTAAATCGATTGATGGTCTTAAGCAAGTTCTAGATAGTGGTATATCAAATTTGACAAATTTGTTAATCAATATGGTTTTTACAGAAAATTCATTGGATGAATGCAATTACATGAAGAAGAGTGGGAGGAATTTCATCATATTGGTATTGTATGTGGATGACATCTTATTGGCATGCACAGATTTATCAATGTTACATAACTATAAAGAATTCCTGTCTAAACATTTTGAAATGACAAATCTTGGTGAAGCATCCTATGTTTTAGGAATTGAAATTAGCAGGAATCGAGAGAAATGGGTTCTTGGATTATCACAGAAGAATTATATAGAAAAGGTACTGCAGAGATTCAATATGTAAGGATGTGGTGGAACTGATATGCCTATTTCAAAAGTAGACAATTTGAGCAAGGACTGAATAAGGGAAAATTTAGACGAATGACAAACCTTAGGCCTCCTTAGTAGGCAGTCTTATGTATGCACTAGTCTGCACTAGACTTGACATAGCCTTTCCTATTAGAGTGCAAGGTAGATTTCAATCTAATCCTGGACAAGATCATAGGATTGCAGGCAAGAAAATGTTGAGATATTTACAGAGAACCAAAGATTACAATTTGGTTTTAAGAAGAAGCAATAATTTGAAATTAGAAGGTTTTGCAGATGCTGATTTTGTAGGTTATAAGGATGATCTCAAATCAACATCACGGTATGTGTTCATATTTGCATGTGCTGCTGTATCATGGAGAAGTATCAAGCAGCCTCTCACAGTTGCATCTACAATGTTAGCAGAATTCTTCGCCTCTTATGAGGCTATTTCTCAAGCTATGTGGTTAAAGAATTTTATCACTAGATTGAGTGTAGCTAAGTCTTAACATAGACCTATACAACTATGGAATGACAAGAGTGTAGCAATTTTGTTTGCAAAGGGGAACAAAAGGACAAATGCTTCCAGAAAAAGATAAGAGATGGGTACACTGGTTCGGAACACATCAATACAACAGATATGACTGCAGATCCTCTTACTAAAGGACTGGTAATTGCAGTTTTTCATATTCATGCTCAAAGTATGGGATTGACAGAAAATATGAGTGGCTGAATTAGTGGGAGTTTTAGTGGGAGTGTTTCTGTTTTAACTAGAGTTTTATCATTTATATTTTGATTAACTAGTAAAGGTTTCGATGGATATTCAAAAAGTTTGAGGATTCATAAAGTGGAATTTTGTTCAGTTATTTTACTGCTTATGTTTGATACTTGAATATACATATAAGGCAGTAAAGCCAGCAATTGATGTAGCTGCGATGGTACAGTATATTCATGGCATTTGTTCAATTTTAACTAGACATTGGCAGTCATTTAGGGGCCTATGAATGAGCATGACATATCTATTAGCACAGATAGGTTAGTCATGAACATTCAACAATTTTAATCTTGATCAAAGCCTTATGTGGTTTTGAAGAATCTCAAATGTAATTATAGGAACTTTGAATTAATAGATGTTCAAGTAGTTTCAATAATTCTTTGTTGTTCTTGATTGACAGTGGCTTAGTAGGGATTTTGCTCAGTTATGTTTCACAAGGCCTTAAAGTGTGTAATGCAATTAACTGTTGTGATTATTTGACCAAGTGGGAGACTGTAAGACATTACATTGTCTTCAACCATATTGGAATTGTCTTCTAATCACATAAGGAGTTGCAGTTTAGTATTCATCAAGAAACATAACTCGAGCATATCTGCAGTTCTAGTTTAAAGTGCAGTTTAATTAGAAAACTAGGGCTTTGAGGATTCCTAGTCCTACATGGATTAAAACATTCTATCATGGTGCAATCAGGATTTGTTTAAGTGTTCTTTGATGGGCAAAATACTTAAGCAATGCATATATATAGAGAGAGGTCCCTTCCCTAGCAATCAAGACACACTCATATTGATATCTCATCCCATCTAGAGAGAGTTAAAGGACTGCATAGGAAAAGAAGATTACTATACCTTCACCACAACCATGTCTGACCAAGGTTACTGTTTAAGTTCAAAGACAATAAATAATTTACAAGAAGATCATAAGGTGTAGAGCAACATGCTTGAAAAGGGAAGTAGAAGATCAACACATGTGAAAGCAATGTTACGAAAGAAGTTTTTAACGGCTGATTACACTATGGAGTTATATGAAAGGTTTCATAGCTTAAAACAACGAGATACGTTCGTTGAAGAATGTAAATCAGAGTTTGGTAATCTCTCAATTCGAGTTGGTTTGAAAGATAGTAATCAAAAGAGGACACATGTCATTATCGTTCAGGTTTGAATAAGACCATTAGCGATGACATGGGGGCAGGTGTGGTTCGTTTGTTCAACCTAGAAGATGCTCGACAACATGTATTAATGGAAGAAA